CGGACTGCCGTGGCCACCCGCCCGGGCGGCGCTCGAGCGGCGAGGGAACAAGCGCCCTCTGGCGGGCTGGCGCGTCAAGGCAGCGGTCACTACCCTTGCTGCGTGACCCGCCGGAAGCCCCGCAGCGCCTAACACCCAGGGACAGGCCGAGCACAGCGACGGGTGTGCAAAGCCTGGGGAGCAGTAGAGGTGTCTCGTGTGGTTTCTATTCGCAACACACTCAGGATTATCCTCCTCCACGTGTTAATGCATCAGGCACCGAAATCCTTCTGGGAAGGGCACCATAAGCTCAAGCTCACTGCGTGACCCGCCGGAAGCCCCGCAGCGCCTAACACCCAGGGACAGGCCGAGCACAGCGACGGGTGTGCAAAGCCTGGGGAGCAGTAGAGGTGTCTCGTGTGGTTTCTATTCGCAACACACTCAGGATTATCCTCCTCCACGTGTTAATGCATCAGGCACCGAAATCCTTCTGGGAAGGGCACCATAAGCTCAAGCTCATCCACGGGGAAGTGCCAGCCACAAGGCAGCTAGTCACTTGAGAAAGGGGTTAACCAGTTACACTATTGTCTTCTCACACAAGTGTCTCCCTAGACCATCTCCATATCTTGTGCCACCCACTCCATCAGGGGACTAACTCAGTTAAACCTGATCTCATGCACGTCCAGGCAGAGTAACATCTTCGGTTGTTGGCCTAAGCGTCAACAATTTCAGACTGCCATTATTCCTCCTACTCATGGGACTTTGCAATCCCTGCACATAGTAATTTTTATTGCATGAGATCAGCCTTTCCTTCAAGGGATTCGACTACTATAGCCATCACCTTAGAATGGTAAACATGTAGTTAGCCCGTCAGCCAAGTTCAAATACTGGGAAGCCCTTGCCTGGTTCAGAGATTCTGAAGGCCACAACTGTGAAGTGTATCAGGGTGTATGTGCATAACACATTGCATCCAGACAAAATGAGTTGAATGAAAAATGGGTGATTGAGATGAATCACAAGGATTCCCTGTTGTGTTCCCTTTCTCTGGGGCATCTGGTATTGACCACTGTCAGCAGACAGGATAGTGAGCTAGATCAGTGTTTCTCAACCTTTTTTATAAAGTGCCCCCTCTTAAAAATTATAAGTCCCCCCCCGTACCTAGAATTTTCAGGCACTTTTCTACCATTGCAAAACATTTGTTTAGACAACTTAATCATAGCCAGGCAAGCAATTACATTTTTGGGTGTAAAAAGTACAATAATGAAGTGCTCTAAAACTTAAAATTCAGTTCTCCAAATTTCAGTTGTGTTGACATACCCAGCCCCCAGACTTCGAGTACCCCTAAGGGTTGAGAAACACTGGGTTAGATAAACGTTTGACCCAGTAGGGCTGTTCTTGTGTTCTTAACTCACATCAAAATTGTGCTGCAGCTTGGACATTTCAACATCCCCAGCAAAAGTGATTTCCCCGTTAAGTGGATTCTCTTATTCTCAGAGATCAAAAAAGTCAAAAGGGGAGCTGGAGACACACCAAAACCATGCTACTATGTCAGGAAAGGGTCCAGAAAAAGCAAGCCAGAGAAGGGCTGTATGGTGTGACTTTAAATGTCAAGTTACATATATGCTGATCATTGAGATGGTTTTAATATCAACTTAGGGCTATTTAACATGCAAGACTAAGAAAAAACATGGTGAATTCCCAACCAAACCAGGGTTTATTGTATACCTGCTACATTGAACTACAAAGACCAGAGCCAGTCCAGAATGTCAAAACTCAGGGCTATCACCCATACAGATGAGCCCTTCATTCCTAAGATTGAAAACTCTTGAAGACAGTAAGAAGCCCTCTTTCAACATCCGGAAGTAGGCACATCTGAAGGATTTCAGCATCCCAAGCTCCAACATCATATGCTCTGCTTTGCAGCCTCAGTAGCAACACAGAAGACGCCTACTTGGATCTCTGCCTCATCTTTCTCCTTTTGCGCTTCAGCCTGAGAAAGAATTTTATCCCATCAGAGAAAGAAAATAATGGTAAAAAAACTATAGCCATTCTATAGCAGGCATCCAACCTGATGAAATGGACTTTTACAAGTCATTATCAGGCCTGACACCTGTTTAAGAACCCATCAATACTTTTTTAGTAAAGTTAGCATGCAATTTTTAAAGGGCACTAAGTTCCTACAATATCTGCCACCTAACTGAACAAGAACTGAAAAGTGAAGTGACTAGAAACTGAATAACCTATTACTGTCTACCAAAGTGTGACAGCTAAACAAAAAGCATGTTAAATTGCAAGTAATTAATTGAACAGTCAATGCATTTTACATAGACTATTCAATTGGTCAATAGGACACCCCTTCCTTTGAAGTGTAGTTGCTACATTTCAAAGGCGAAGCACCACCTGGAGCCTAGGGTCAGCTGGGGACTCCCCCAATGATCCCAGGTGGCACTGCCACTGAAGTGCCACAGGGAGTCCAGTGTCAGGCTACATGCAGCAGTGCCACACGTAGCCCAGGGTCAGGAGGAGAGTCCCCAGCTGATCCCAGGCTCCACTTGCCTCTAGCTTTCTGATAGAGGCAAGGAGGAGCTGGGGGGGGCAAGTGACTAGTTGACTAAACTGTCCACTATCCAATAAGCATTTGCTTATTGAACATTCAACTAGTCCCTCACATCCCTACTACACAGCATGGCTAAAGTTGATTTAAGCTATGCAACGCAAGCTACACAATTGACGTAGCTCAAGTCGAAATAGCGTAATTCAGCTTTTGGCACAATCTACACAGCAGGAAGTTGAAGGAAGAACATTTCCTTCAACTTCCCTTACTCCTCATAATGAGGATTACCATGAGTGGGTGTAAGTGGTCCTCCAGCTCACCATTATTTTGAAATAATGGCTTGCAGTGTAAACATGCTCTTTGTTATTCCAAATGTCAGTTATTCCAATATAATGCTGTAGTGTAGACATAGCGTAAGGTGCTACAAAGCTGCTCATTTTTATATCAGCTTCAGTAGAGGGGACAGCTCTTGAACTAAGGATGACTTGCAATGGAAACAAGGAAAGAGGCCAGAATAAGCTTATTCCTGCTTGCCTTTCCAAAGTTTTAAATTTATAAGCAGACCTGAAAAACAATTAAGCACAGTAACAAAGGAGTTTATTTTGTTTGGAAAAGGAGCTTTCACCTTGCAAAAAAAAATTTTATGACTTAAGTAGTTTGGCCCCTCAGTTAAAAACAAACATGTCATCCTTACCTGTCATGCTCAACACAAAAAGCTTATTACACCAAAGACCAAAAAAAGTCAGCAGCAAGGAGATAGCTTTAGCTTTGAGTTGGCCTGACTGCTCTTATACTTAGCTCATCTGGCGGTGCTGTGTAAGAAATATTCACTGGAAATAAAGTTAGGTTTAGTTCTGCACAACCCTCCCCAAACAAGAAAGACTGTTTACAAATGATGCAGTCTAAGGATTTTGTGGCACACTCCACAAAGTGCTTCATGTGCAATGTTTATCTTCAATCCCCATCTGCAAGTACCATTCTCACTATTTTACAGGTGAGAAATAGAGGCACGAGAGACTTACTCCAGGTCATACAATAGAAGCAGGAATTTAACCCAGAACCTAGACAGTATTTTACTTTTAAGACCCTCCTGCTTGTCCTTGTATTGTTCCTACAACCACCGTTTGTCAATTGAGATTGTAAGCAACTTGGGTCAAGGCCCACACGACATCTACCACAGGCATGGGCAATAAATTGAGGGGGGCTATTCCAAGAATCTGGGATGGAGCCTGGGTGCAGAAGGGTGCTCAGACTAGTACAAAGGGCTCTCAGGTCAGCTGAGGCCTTTAGACAGGACTAAAAATCAATGCATTTTAACTGCCAAATGAATGAGGACTATGCAGTACTGTGCTAAACCTAACCCATGCAACTAAAAAGTTTTTTATATCCGCTATTTACCAAGTTTGAGCAGCCATCTTAGCCAGGCACTTAATACACATTTCTGGCACCCAAGACTTACATTTTCTAAGTACGCCATGCAAAGCATTCACATCGATTAGTGCAACCTGTCTGGCAAGCAAGGCAACCCAAAACACAAGTTGAAAACATACCTGCGCATTCGCTTCTTGCGCCACTAGAGGAAAAAGGGGAAAACACGAGATGGTCAGTGAGCCTTGCAACAGCAGCTCAACCTCCACAGAACTAGGGGGCCCAGCTACCCCATGCACCAAGCAGCTCGTGCCAGAGAGAACGCGAAGGCAGGACCCACAGCCAAGGGATGGGTGGGGAGGGGGGAAGAGATCTCGTGCTGCAGGGGAACTGCCCCACGTGCGCGCAGGCCA